TCATTTCAGTATTTTTTAAGACTTACAGGAATATGTTGCATGCATCTGCAATATTCATACTAATTTGCTTTCTGTCTCTATCCCCTTCTAGATACTTCATATAGAGAGACTCATACAGCATGTGGTCTTTGCTTCTGGCTTCTTTCACTTAACATAATGATTTTGAGGTTCATTCATGTTACAACATGAATTCAACACGTATTCATTTTTATTGCTGAATATCAATATACTTCTATAGTTATTTAAAAATTATTCTAATTGTTTTGTCTTATTTTTAATACAAACTCTGTGAAGTTAGAGACCATTGCTAAGTATTAGTATAAATCCTTATACCTAGGAATACCATTTACTGTGGTTGCTCAGTACTTGAAGTAAAATGTAAAACTCCAGAATAGCATTTATGAACTCACAGAATATCAGCCTGCATACCTATCTATTCTGTGGGTTTGTTTGTTTTTTTTTTTTAAGATTTATTTATTTATTTATTTATTTGAGAGAGAGAGAGAGAATGTGAGTGCAAGTGCGGGGAGGGGCAGAGGGAGAGATCTTAAGCAGACTCCCCTCTGAGCGCGGAGCTGGATGCGGGGCTCGATCTCAGAACCCATGAGATCATGACCAGAGCCAAAATCACTAGTCAGACATTTAACTGACTCAGCCATGCAGGCACCCCTCTATCTGTGTTTAATATATAGTATATATATGTATGTGTGTGTGTGTTAGTATGTATATCTCTAACATAATTATGCTTTCTTCTCTTTTCCTTCCTTTCATTACCTTTTTAAATATAATTAAAACATAAGGGGAAATCTATGTAATTTCACACCAGCATAATAAAGCGAGTGCTATTATATGTAGTAAAGTTTCCTTGTAAAATTAGCAAGATTGTAGTATATAATATTGCCTTGATTCAGTGATTTGCTTTCATAACTTTTACTTGGGTGTTTCAGTAATAAACTTTTATACAGATGGAAACTTACTGAAATACTGATTGGTTTATAAACAGTGCTATAGTAGATAAAAAGGAGGTGAAACAACTTTCATGGAGGAATTTTTTTATGGATTGTATAATTTATACATGCATGCTTCCTTGATTAGATGAATTACCAGCTTTCCCTTATAAAACTCCAAGGCAATTTGCACTTAATCATGCTGATGAAATTAGGTGAATTACTCAAGATTGCAGAATATAGGACTTAATTTACTATTTATTATTTTTTCCAGATTTATATCAGGTTACATGAAGTTAAGAGTAAAAGTAAATACTTTGTCAGCAGTTTACATATGAAGTCTTACTCTAAAGTATACAGTGAAGACTTTATCAAGCTTAAATATCTATTTTAATATCTTAAAACATATTTTAAGTAATTTATATTTATTTTTATATTACATTAGCACCTAAGTGTACTATTGAGGTAGATAAGGTAAGAATACTGATTTATGAAAGCTCTTTCTACTCTTCAGACCTTTCCTGCTGGTGTTAGCTATCAAGAAAATGGACTATTATCTTTTAGTTTTGTAACTTCATTATTGAAATATGAAGTTGTAAGTTGTAATTTCACAAGTTATTTTTCCTCCATTTGGGAATGAGTTAAAATGAGGCATTGGAAAAGTAAGTATTTTTATTATTTGATGTAGCCATTTTTGATGGATTATTTATTTGGTAAGACACTTCACTTCCTTGAAGCAGTAAAATAAAACATTTAGCAGTTTGCCTCGTTAGTACTTGTTAAAATAGGTAGTTTGGTTTCTGGTCATGAATCATGCTAATTGAAAGAACCTGAAAACTATTTAATATTTCATTTAGATTGTATTTGTTTTTGTTATTGAGAGCAAATTATTGGACAGATTTTTTTTTTTTAAGATTTTATTTATTTGAGAGAGATAGAGCCTGCATCTGTGAGCGGGAGGGTGGGTGCAGAGGGAGAGTATCCCAAGCATACTTCCTGCTGAGCACAGATCCTGACCTGGGGCTCAATCTCAAGACCCCAAGATCACGATCTGAGCCAAAATCAAGAGTTGGACGCAACCAGGTGCCCCTGGACAGGTTTTGTTTTGTTTTGTTTTGTTTTTTAATGCCCTTGTTTTCTTGAATCTGAATTTTTGTTTCCTTCTTTCTTTGTTAATAACATCTTATTATATTAAAGGATTTGAACTCATGGTGAGTCTCTTTGGCTTAAACTTGCTAAAAGTCGTGGATGATACTTTCAAAAGAGAAAATATAAGCCAAGAGAAAAAGAGTAAGGAACAGGGACTCAGCATATGATAGCTCAGGTAAATGTGTACAAATATGCTCCATGTAAGGAGATGCCATTTGCATCCACATAGAGTCACTTATATGAAAACATGCAAGTGTGGCGATTTCAGGCTCGTCAGTCAAGTCCTGATGCAGCTGGGGAATGCTCTCTTCTACACAAATCTGGACAGCACATGGAGCCGTCACATTTACCCACTTACTTGGCACTTACTTGGCACACACATACCTCTTTATGCTGCTCTTCGGGCATCCCCTGAGGTTGCTTTTGTCTCTTGGAAGTCCATTCCCACCCCATCTCTGAACCTGACACAGGCTTTAACCACCCTAACTCTGAATGTGACATAGATACTCCTGGGGGAATGGGGAAGGGAAGGGCCTGGAGAAGGAAAGGAATGTGTGCCTTGCAAGTGGCGTATGTGTCCCTCTTTCTGCTGGTTTTTAAGAAAAGGCCAGAACGAAGATGGATGTGTGTGTGCAGCTAAGACTGCTACTCTCTCGGGCTCAGTAAACTTCTGGAAAGCTGTTCAGGTTGTGCAGTATTTCTATTTGAAAAAGGAGAGGCTTTTTCTAATTTGCAGGAAAGCACGGCAAGAGCTAGCGGTGGCCCTATAAAGACCCTGTAGATAGTGGACCTATTCTCTGTGTCCCCTGGCGTCCTTTGCAGTCCACCAAGTCATTTTTTGGAAACAAAAACAAGGTACAGGAATATAGATGATTAAGATTCCATAATGCATCATAGACTTATATAGAAGGGGCAATAGAGCCATATGATAATTGCAAAAAAAAAAAAAAGTGTCATTCTGTTAAAAATAAGTAAAATTGATCTTTGATATTTTGTAAGACTGCTAAGAGAAAAAAAAAATGTCATGTAACAGTACCCTCCCAAATAGAGCTACTGAAAAAGGAAACAATATAAATTTGGTTCCAGTGGATCCTGCTGATGTATTAAGAAATGAGAATGTCATACTCTTTACTCTTTGAAGATGCTTACCAAGGTTTTGATTTTATTTTTAAGTTTTTTTTAATGTTCTCTAAATTGTTTCCCCTTCGTCACAGGATCAGATTTCTTTTCCTCCCTCCTTCCTTCACCCCACCTTCCTCCCTTGCCCCTCCCATTCCTTTTTCCCTGTCCTTCCATTCCTGCTCTCTGCTGCTCCCCCTCTTTCTCTCCCATCCACTTTCCATTTCCTTCCTTCCTTCCTTCCTTCCATTTTTGGTGTATATCTGGTGATTGTTTACTGTCTTTTATATTTAAAAATGTAGGTATGGTTTATTTTAGGTTATAGACTCTCATCTTGTTTGCTTGTATAGAAGTACTTTGTTTTTCCATACTTTTTGGATTACTACAGCTTTGTAATACATCTTGAAGTCTGAGATTGTGATACCTCCAGCTTTGTGCTTTTTCAAGATTGTTTTTCCTATTTGATCTCCTCTTGAATGGGAAATCTGAGAGACAAATAGAATTTTCATAGGGCACGTTGATTGACAGTGTCACTGTATGGTGGGTGAAAAGAGAACAGCCCATCTGGCTGTTGGCCCCCTAACGTGATAATGCAGAGGGATTTATTCTGGGTGGTAACCCCACACTGGAAGCCTTAGTACTTCCTGGTTAATCAGTGAACTGTCCTTGGAAATAGCATGTGTTCCTGGAAGTGGTTGGTTTAAATACTCTGCCTCCCAACCTGAAATCATTTTCCTGGGCAGTAGAGGTCAGGATGGATGGTTATTGAAACAGCTGTTTTATGTGTAAACTTTTAATTAACCTTGATTTTGACTCTACTTTTCACTGACACCCTTAAGCCCAGTGACTCCCATCTTCATTGTGGTTACTCGATATATACTGTCTTCTGGATTGTCTCCCCTGTTCGTTTTATCCCTAACCCTTTGTTTTCCCATCTTCCGAAACATATCGCTGTCTTCTCCTCTGCTCCTTCACTCCCCTCTCCTCTCTTCCTTCACTGTTCTGGGTTTGTGCTTTTCTGTCTTGATATTGTAATTACTAGGGTGCTGGGTAGGACTGGACGTCAGCACATTTTCTCAGTGTGCAACTTTCTGAAACATACATATCAAAAGGCAGTATCTGTAACAGTTTTTACTACCACCAGTATTTGAAATTTTCGTTTTTATAGCATCCCAACTATTATATTTTTTTGCCAGCTAAAGTGTATATGTTTCTTGTTCTAATGTGTAATCGTCTATAAGAAACTAGCAAATCCTCATTTTTTCTTTTGAGTTTGTTGTTAATACAATTTTTTAGGAATTGTTTGTTCCTTTGAATTTCATTGGCACTGGGAAGTCCTGGGTTTTATAAGCAGTTTTCATAGACTCTTTATGTAGTATATTGACTCTTCATCACATTTGCTTCAACTATCTCTAGTCTTTGTTTTCACCCTAATTTTAATTATGTTCATTTTGTATATTTTATTTGAATATGTTTATCTGTTTTGTGATTTCTAATCTTTGAAGTAATAAAAAAGTTACCACCCCTCCAGACAGTTTATATTAATTAGGAATTTTATTTTTGTTTTACTAAACTTTATAAAATTAATTTTTGTGGAACACTCTTGCAGAATAATTTGGCAGTGCATTTTGAGAGCCAGGAGACTGTCTCTGTGTTTTGATCCTGTTCTCAGAAGGCTTAATTAAAAGAGGATAAGAGTTTGTTTGGTGTTTTGAATTCAGCCATATTCTTTCTTTGTCAAATGCTTTGAAATACTAAAAGGTAAAATGTTTTTGTGTTTTCCAGATTATTGCTCAGTTGTAACAATTGTGGACCAGACAAATGTAAAGTTAACCTGCCTGCTCTTTAGTGGAAATTATGAAGCACTTCCAATAATTTATAAAAATGGAGATATTGTTCGCTTTCATAGGCTGAAGGTATAATTCGGAATGTCCAGAACTCCTGTCTGTTTGAAGAGAACTCTGTATTTTCACTAATACTAATTAGCTCTAATTCTGTGGTTGCTGTGGCATAACATGGCATCCAGCATTTCAAGAGACAAGAAGAAATGTAAATAATACCAGACTTCAAATAATTAATATTAGGAAATCTCTTCATTTGGACAAACTGCCTGTGCTCCTTCCACAAGAGGTGCATTAGATACCATGATTAAGACGAGTTGCTAGTTGCATTCTGTCTTCTCACTTCTGAATGTAGATTAATGCTTTAAAGGTTTCCATGTAGAGCTGGGTTAAAAAAAAAAAAAAAGCCCTAGGCCAACAGGGCTTTTTCTTTTTTCTTTTTTACTTCTTTATAAGTAATTCTATAATAATTGAGAAGTTATATTATTTTCCCCTGTTTGTTGTGTTAATTCAAGTACAGTGAAAGCATTGAGATATTAAGTATAAAATCAAAGTAAGTTGATTTCATTTATGAAAAATGTATTAAAACATGAACAGATATTTTGGTACTTTTCAAATTATGCTATCAGTCAAACAGTTAAATGTAAGGAAACCTTTAATATAAAGTTAAAACTATTAAATAGTATGTAATTAAAAAAATAAGTACTTTAATATTTTCAATCCCTTAGGTTTTTAAGCATTTCAGTCGACCCTTCATCTTTTCCTCTTGTTAGATGGGTTTCCAGGAAGCTCTTTCATTATCTTTTTCTTCTGATGCTTCAGTTTATATGTCCCTCATGCTCATAAGTGAGCACAATATTCTGGGTATGTTCTGTCCTTAGTTTTGGTGGAGATTACCTTTCTTGATCTCTAATGCCTTTCCCTGAGAATAGAAGAGTAGTAGAGAATATTTGTGTGGAGTTAAAAAGGAAATAGAAATATTATCATCGTAGCAAGTTTATCCCAACTTCAAAAAATAACTTATTTCTCACACACTGTTGTTTCAGACAGTGCACTCTTCCCTCCTAATGTTTTTAGTTGTTATTCTTGCTCTTTAACTGAAGTAGGATATATATCTCTCAGTTCTATTTGTTTTAAAGAGAATAGACTATAGGTTTTGTTCTCTAATGTATGGCTTATGCTTGTGTGATTCAGCTATATTACTACATATAGTTTCACTTTGTTCATTTTCATTGGTAAGTGTGTGAATGCATCAGAATTTATATATTCTGTGGGACATTCAGTTTGAGAATATTATCCTGCTATAAACAGTCTAATACATATCTTTTATGTAGTGAATATATATGTTAATATTTTTATTATTAATGAAAAATTTACTGGATAGGCTAAATAGATTAGCTATATCATTTTTACTTGAACATAGATCAGTAGAAATTATCTAATCTGAAGAACAAGGGTAAACGAAAGATTGACAGAGCCTTGGGGACCTGTGAAATAATATCAAATTGTGAAACGTGTCATTTGAAATGCACAAGAAAACTGTGTGAATGGGAAACAAAAATACTTAAATGACCAGAATTTTTCCATATTTGATGGAAAGCATTGGCTTACAGATTTTAGAAACTCAGTGCACTCCATGCATGGCACCAATAGAACAGCATGCCTAAACAAATCACTGTGAAACCATTGAAAAAGATTTGAAAAAAGAACTTGAAATGAACTGGCAGAGAAATAACACATTCCATATAGGAAACATAATACCAGCCATCTTTGATTTATCAGAAATAATGGCATTTGAGGAACAAAGCAATGATAAATTTAAAGTGGTGATAGAAAATGGATTCACCTGGAATTTTGTATCCAGAGAAAATATTTTTCAAAAAATGAGAGAATCCACAACCAGCATATCTTTGCTATAAGTAAATGCTAAAGGATGGTGTTCAGGACAAAAAAGAATGCTACCAACCAGAAACTAGATGGTTAGGAAATGATCAAAAACAATAACAAAAAAAAGGAAATGGTGAATAAATGGTGAAAGATACTGTTTTGTATTGCTTCCCGTAATTTCACTAAAAGATAAATGGCTGTTTAAAAGAAAAACAGTAACATTTAGGAAGATGGAGTTTATAAAATATATAGAAAAATATGAACGATAACACAAAGGATGGTTAGGATGGTTAACTGGAATTAACCACCAAAAGGTTAGTACGTACCTTCAGAGGTTATTACACTTTCAGTAGAAAGTGTAAAATGGGATATGGGCGAGTGGGGAATATGATATGGAAAGTAGGGATTATGTAGTAGAACTATATTGATTGCAAATAGACTTTGAGATAAGGATTCTTTCATAGCTCAGAGGAGGTAAACAGAATACTAATAAGTTCAAAATAAGAGGAAAGGAACAGTAGAAAAACAATTTTTAAAAAACAAAAAGGGGGATACAGAAGGAAAACAAATAAGATAGACTTAAATATAACCATATCAATAATTTTACGTACATGGACTAAACACTCCTTTTGTAAGGAAAAATAGACTGAATAAAAAAGCAAGAACAAATATCACCCCCTACAAGAAATGAAGACACAAATAAGTTGTAAGTAAAACTGTAGAAAAGATACACCAAGCAAACAAGAAGCATAAGGAAAATGAAAACATTTTATTAATATCAGATGGAGTATTACAGGGGATTAAAAGGGGGGCATTTCATAAGTACAAAAAGATTGCTTAATGAAGAAGATGTAACCTTGGTAATGCACGTGCATATACTAGCGGAGCCTCAGAATTCAAAAGCCAGAGTCTTTGTGGCTTATCTTGGCTCTCAGACTGATGAAATCTTAGCCTCACTGCATTTTATTCACTTTGAAGTCTTGTACTTTAAGTGTTCTAGTTTTCCTTGTAATGGTCATAAGTAATTGTCACTATGTTTTTCCCTTTGTAAATTGATTTTATAATTTTGTATGCTAATTAAGTAAAATATATTAAATAATTATATCCTCAGCTATGCTAGCAAGACTTTCTAATCTTTCAAGTTTCTTGAGTTTTGGGGTTTTGCGTCAGTAAGCTGTTTTGTTTTCTGCTTTGCCCAACTTTCTTAGATCCAAGTATATAAAAAGGAGACTCAGGGTATCACCAGCTCTGGCTTTTCATCTTTGACATTTGAGGGAACTTTGGGAGCTCCTATCATACCTCGTACCTCAAGCAAGTATTTTAACTTCACTGCCGAGGACCACAAAATGGTAGAAGCTTTACGTGTTTGGGCATCTACTCATATTTCACCTTCTTCGACATTAGTAAAATTGTGTGATGTTCAACCACTGCAGTATTTTGACCTGACTTGTCAGCTCTTGGGCAAAGCAGAAGTGGATGGAGCATCATATCTTCTAAAGGTAGGTATTTTAAATACTTGAAATTGTAAATTAGCACCACCTACATATCTAAAAAGAGCTTATATTTCATTCTGGTGGGATAAATATGCATACTGTGTATTATAATAAGAACTTTAAATCTAACTTACCATTTTTGATGAACTTAGATGTTCATGCAACTCTACTCTTGAACTTCTTTATACTTCCAGAGAAAAATAGTATTATCAATAGTTTAGATATAGTTTATGCTTTATTTATTTATTTTAGTATTAATAAAATATAAAGTTTTCTATGTTATATTTTAGTTACATTTCTACATATGCATATTTCTGCTTCCCTGTCAGGGTAGCCTTCCTTCTCATTTACTTTCTTGGCTCATTCATGTTGGGTTCTCTTCCCATGTCATCTCACTGCCTGTTTCATTGGGTAGATCACAGATGGTTTTGAAGTGTTTATTTTTGTTTTGTTCTGTTTTCTTTCTAAATCAGCATGATCTTTTAAAAAGTAACTTAAGACCCATCTAATCTTTGTTTATACCTACCCCAATTTACTCACAAATAGCTAGAGAAAAAGACAGTTGTCTGATACTAATCCTCATCTGCCCATCCTGTGCACAGTACACTTAAACAAACACTGCTTCAGCTCTGCTCTTATGGTTATTTCTTTATCTTCTGACTCTTTGAAACAATAGGATAAGGAACAGAGTACAGAGGCACAAGTATTGGGTTTAGCTTTATTATCATTTATACCTCGCCCTTATTAAGGAATGAGGAAGATAGAAATCCCTGAATAAAAGATGAAGTGTTTAGAGTTGAAAGCACATTTATATACACATGACATACTCCGAAAAAAGTAATTGCATGCTGTAAAAAAATTTAAGTCAAGTATGACAGCTAAAGTTAAAGCAAAGTAAAATCATCCAAAATTAGAAGGAATCCTAGGTCAGCCGGTCATACTTTTTGCCCAAAGTGACATCCTTAACAGATGAACATTTGTTAAAAACCAAATACTTCCAATGACAAGTAATCTGTGCACAGTATGAGTGTAGATCTTTTGACTGCTATGTTAGAAAATTCTTAAATTCTGAGATAAAATCTGCCACCTTTTAGCTGACATGGCTGAATCTACATTCACTCTAAAGCAACAAAACACGCATGCATTCCATTTTTATAGATAGCCTTTTCAGATAAATGAAAACAGCCTTGATTTAGATGTTATTTTAAAATACAGCATTCAGAAGTGAATTTATTTTTGTAAATTTTCTAAATTTACTTTGTAAATGTGGAAAAATGCATTTAAAGAATATTTTATTTCTTACAGTAATAAAAATTGGAAACACTCATTACTAACAGAGAATTGTGTGAAGTATCGATATACTTCTGTTACAATAAAATGACATTGTAGATATGGTTATTAAGATATTCATAATATTCTGTTTGGCAATTAATGCAGTTTTATTTATATACTAAAATATATGCATAGTAAAAGTACATTAAAAAGAATATATAGCAATATTTTACTTATGTTATCTCTGGGAAGTCAAATTTTGAGTGATTTTTTTTTCTGAAATTGATTTTCCTATCACATACCAGAAATAACTTTTTAAATTGTTTTAAACACAAAAGGAGCCAGACCTTACTCCAAGTGAGGCCTGAAAAGCATGGAATGTAACATAATTATTTCCTTTCTCAGCTTGGATTTGATACCAGAGTTTCCTATATTAGTAACTATGATACTAATTTATTTTAATTATTTTTGTAGACATGCTACACCAATAACATATTAAAACAATAATATACTGTAATCCACAATTTATTTTTAGAAATCAGAAGTGGTTTAATTTTAAGGAAAATTATAATCCTTTTTGTGAATGTTAAATAGATCTGTGAAAATGTTTAGCAAAATAGAATTAGAAGTATGTCTTCTTAACTTGATAAACAATTTCTCCTATAAATTAATCAAAATAATTAGTGGTAAAATTCTGAAGTCAATAATGCCAGGAAGAAGACAAAGATACCCCTATTTTCTCTGTTACATTGCTCAGAAAATCTCAGGAATTCACTAAGATAAGAAAAAAAGTGAGAGATAGAACTCTTTTAAAAGAAAGAAAAGAAGAAGGTCAGTACTCAAGTTATAAAAACCCAAACAATGGACTGAAAAGCTACTTGGATTAATAAAATTATTTAGTGAGATAACTAGTTTAGACATTAGTGAAATATAGCTTTGCTACATATTAGAAATAAATAGAACATATAATTGAACAAAAGTTCTTCCAATGTCACAAAGACTGTAAAACGAGACAGTTCGGGCAAGGAATCCCTGACCTTCTGTGAAGAAACCTAGAAAGCGGGAACATAAAAGAAAAGTAGGGCTATTAAAAGGTTTTTGATTCTTTTTTAAAGTGTTTTAAAATAAAATGCCACATATTTTCTAAATTGACTATGATTCTGAAATTTATTAGGAACAGTAAATGATCAAGAATAAGACAAGAAGAACTTGACAAGAAAACTCAGTGAGACCTCTGTATCAGATTCAAAGCATATTATGAAATTACAGTAATTAAGATTATAGTAAGACTGATCAATGGAAAAGATTAGGAACCTCAGAAACAATCTTACACTGTACATATAATATATTCATGATAAAAATAACATTGTCATTTCAAATTGATGAAGACAGATTGTTAAATGGTGATTGTTATCTATTTGGAAAAAGAAATCAGATCTATATATTATATACAAATTCCTAACAGATTAAGTATTGATAAAAAATTACAAAAGTTCCAGAATTTATTAAAAAAAAAGACTGAGTTGTAAGTGATTAAAACTGAAGCATAAAAATAATGTAGCAGCGCTCTACTCTCTCAGCTCCTCCCCCCAAAGACTGGTAGATTCATGTATAAAGCTATTTTAAAGTCACAAAAACAGTATACATGAAATGAAGGAACAAATTCCAAGTGGAGAAAAACATTTGGGACATATAGTGTAACTATTCCCAAAGTGTTTGTTCTGGTTCTTTGAATAGTCTAGGCAACAGTGAGTGACCCAAACTCAGTGATTGTTTATTTGAAACTTGGCATAGTCACCAACATTATTGAATACTTCCTCTGTAAACTGACCTGGCAGACAACCTCTCTGTAGAAATGCAGTGTTTTCTGTTCATTGAGCCTGTTTCTCACCAAATTTCTTATATACAGAGGCATTCTTACCTCATGCCAGATGTCTTTTGTCATGCCCTTTTATAGCAAAGCATAGCCGTCTCTTAAAAGCTTAGCACAGCACAGACTAGCTCACATGTTGAGGATGGTATGGTGCATACTTTCTCATTCTGTACCTGCTTATCTCAATGTAGCTTACATAGCAATCCAATATATCTTTTCCTTTTCCAGCACCCATGATTTTCATTCATTTGTATTCACAGCCTCTAACATAAACAGAATGTTCCTATCTGTACTTTTAAAGGCCTTTTCCAAATTAGAACAAAGTGACAAAATGAGCAAAGTTTAGAATACATTCCTAAAAGTTAGGGATTTATACTTAAGAAAATTAGCAAATATAGTCATAAGGGTTTATATGTAAGATGGTAAAAAAGATAAATTCAAAAATATGTTAGTACTTTTTTCTAGGTAGTGTGAATTTTTTTCTTCTTTACATTTTCTACATGTCCTATATCTATGTAGTCCTTTTATAATCAGAATATACACCATGTTTAAAGCTTAGCAGGTATTTGGGGGAATACGTTTAATTACTTTTAAGTTATATTACCAGCAGATAGAACTCTTTTAAAAGTCTCTACAATTACACAGAAAGATCATTAAACTTCACTCTACCCTATTATGGCAGGTATGGGATGGCACCAGGACCCCATTCCCATCTTGGAGAGTATTAATACAAGACCTTGTACTTGAAGGAGATTTAAGTCATATCCATCGGCTGCAGAATCTGACAGTAGACATTTTAGTCTATGATAATCATGTTCAAGTGGCAAAGTCTCTGAAGGTGATGTTGAGTAGCAAATGTTGCTCTTTTTTTTGTTTTTATAAATGTGGGGTAAATCATATTTATAGATGATATTTGAGGTCGAGAAATTAACTCCAAATTTATTTTTTCTTTAATTTTTAATTTGTAAAATATATTGAAAATAAATTATTAGAAAAAAGATGCATTAAGTTATAGTGGTTTGAACAACTTTTTAAATAAAATTAAAGAACTTTTCCTGAATATTTTAAAGCTATACACAATTTTATTATAAAAACAGTAAGGAAAAATTTTATTATATGAAATCATATAAAATATTTGTAAGCTTAAATGTTAAGCTTTATTAATTTTTCAAAATCTAGCCTACAACTTTGTACTCATTAAGAAATTGTCAATCCACTTCTTAATATTTATCATAAATTGTGTGTGTTTATACTGTACAGTTTATTAGAATTTGCTCACTGCTTTTGAGTTATTTTTTAGGTACAAGTCCAGATATGACACTTCTTGATTATTAATATTGGGAATATTTTATTTATTTTATTTTTTAATTCTTTTATTTGCAGATATCTTTTCTAGCAACAAGTGGCATCATTAATAATAGCAGTAATAAGAGGAACATTTGTTAAGCACATCATGTGTATTTAGTACTATCCTGTGCAGTTGGTATTGTCACCATTCCTATTTTACAAATGAGAAAACAGCAGTCACAGGTTAAGCCCAAGATTTCATGGCTACTTGGGTGAAGCCAGTATTTGAATCTAGTGTTTGTTTCCACAACCAGTCCTTTCAAGCAGTATAAAGAAATGATTTTCTTTATTGCAAATAGCTTCCATCCTACCTTTTAGGGAGTTATACAGCCTACTTATAGAAAGTTATATGGCCTACTTATAGGAAGAAAATAGTAAAAGTGAATTGCAGTTGTTTTAGATCTGAATTTTATGCCCAGTTTCCCTTTGTAAAATAAATGTTCTTGGAGAAAGAAATAGTTCCTCACACATACAAATAAGCCTACCCAACTCAAATTGATAAATTAGATTAAAGTCAGGGTCCAGGAAGGTGATAACTGAACTTTCTTGTCCTTTATGTGTGTGTGTACGTGTTTTCATACCTAACATATCAAGAGAAAATTGACTGTTGAAGATACATTTTTGATGCTTTTCCCTGATTTTCTCTACATTGATTACTTTATTTCGAAAATAAATCTAATGATAAAGCCAATTCAAAGTCCTTTTTAAATACAGATAGAGTTTTGGGGCACCTGGGTGGCTGGCTCAGTGGGTTAAGCATCTGCTTTCAGTTCAGGTCATGACCTCAGTGGGGTCCCTGTTTCTCCCTTTCCCTTTGCCTTCCCCCTGCTTGACTGCTCTCTTTCTCTCTCTGTCTCAAGTAAAATAAATAAAATCGTAAAAAAATACAGATAGAGTTCTTATGAATGAAAATGATTTACGTTTTATTTTAGATTCTACTTTCACAATTTAATTCCCTTTATGCTGCTTTTATAGGTCTTTCTGTTTCCCCCTCACTGATTCCCTTGTCCAAGTCCTGAACAACACCTAGCACAGTACTTTCCTTTTACTAAGGATGAAGTAAATAATATCTGCTAGTGAATGAGTGAACCAATGAGGGCTGTGAATTTATTTGATTTTTTTCAGCTCCCTTTTTGTCTACTTTATCTCACCCACTAGAGGGTGCTCTGAGCACACATCACTAAGAAAATACAGGGCACTTAGTCTTTTTCTGAAGCTATCATAACATTGTTTTATTTATCTGCAACAGAAAATATTGCAGAAATGCAGAAAAAAAATGCCCCAAATGCAGAAATGTATATTTGCCCCAAATGCAGAAAAGATATTTCTCATAATAGAAAAATGATTTTCTCTGTATAAGTAATGTAACTGTAGGCTTTTATTTAATGTATATTGGCATCCCATTTTATTTGTTCTAAGACAGCCTCTATACCATTTGATATTAAGAAATCCCCAGAGTCCAATGACATTAATACAAATCAATTCGTATCAGCACTTGAAGACAACTGTTTGAAATTGAATTTTTATACTGAAATATGTGGAACAGATTTTTGTTGTATAGGAACAGGAAAAAATATTTTTTTAATAAAGAGAATAATTAAGGCAATCTTAAAGTATAATATAATTGGCTTTTATATACATTTTATAGTTGAAATCATTCTTAACATTTTTCCTCAATTTTGCTTTTTAAGTGTTACACAAACACGCATAAAGCCACATATACATGGGTACACACAGACATTTCGAACTTTTTGTCTAGAAATTAAAGCAGTGTATTTCCAATCATCAGTCTTACCCTGACACAATTTAAAAATAATTAAAAATATATATAGTCATAATTATGTTTTGGCTTTCAGTGACCCAAGAGCTGTAGTTTGGTTATTTTCAGACATACACAGGTAATTAAAAACATTAAAGAGAATTTCTTGATAGCTTGTAAGGAAGATTAAAATTATTTCTAAAGGGATAATAATTTCTTAATAGCCATATTTGCTTTGCTTTATTTTTGATGTTTACTGAAATGGGTTTTTATCAGTTTTTGAAAGTATATTTTTTATAATTTTGGCTTTGACTCCTTCACTTGTATGTTTAGAATCTTTTCCCATTACTGAAAGGACTCAGCAATATGTGTCTATTATAGTAGAACATCTGGCACATTTCATAGTATATTTAGCAAGCTTAAAAAAAAATACAATGCTGCCTCCAGAAGGAATTTCTGGAAATAACATTTTGTCATCTTGATAAACTATATAAGTAAATTTCTTGGTCTTTATTGTTTTATTATGAAAGACAGTAGTAGAAAAGTTAGTGTAGTAAATACCCATGTGCCTGTCATCTAAACTTAACATTTTTAAATGTTTTACCACACTAATTTCAGGTACTTTTAATTTTTAGGACATAAATCTCTACATACTGAATCTTCTTTGTACTTCTGCTCATTCTTATTTTTTGCTCCCTAGTATCTTCTTTCTATTTATCCTAATATGTAGGTATGTACACCCATGTTTATTATGCTTTTATTTTATGTACTTACCTCTGAAAAATGCATGTGGTATATATATTATTCTGCAATTTGCTTTCTTTCTTTGAAATTATATTTTTAAGATATATCCATGTTCATATATGTATCTGCATTAACACCACAGGGTCTTAATTATTATAGCTTTATTTTTATTTTTTATAGCTTTATTTTTAAATGATATTCTGTAGATCAAGCAAGTCTTCCCCCCTTCCCTCCCAGTTTAGTCTTCAAACTTGACTTGCTATTCACGTTCATATACATTTTCAGATCAGCTTTTCAAATTCCATAAAAGACACTGGGGATTTTGTTTGAAATTACACTGAATTTAAAGATTAATTTGGGGGGATTACTATCTTTATAATGTTCAGGTTTTTCATTTATGAATATGATATCTTTCTCCATGTGTTTAGGCTTTTAAAAAAATTTTTTTATATCTGTACGAGAGAGCATTTTATCTAGAGGGAGGTGGTTTTTAATTTTTTTTTTTTTTTTTTAAGTAAACTCTTCCCTCAATGTGGGGCTGGAACTCATGACCCCGAGATTAAGAGTTAGATGCTCTACTGGCTAAGCCAGCCACGCACCCCCATGTGTTTAGGTCTTCTTTAAGTGCTTTGTATATACATGAACTGTACTAGTGTATTCCCTATATTTAAAAAGAATCACAGAATGATAAACATTCAGAAAGTGAGTTAACAGTGAATAGAAATAGAGTGGGTTTTTTCTTCCAATATCTTACTTTGGAGACCATTAGGGAAATCAGTTTTGTCTTTTCTTTTTTAGAAATTTCTGTGTTTTCCTTCTCTGACTCTTTTCACCCTGCACCCCTGCTGTGTTATAGATGTCAGTGGAAGAAGTCAGAGGAAAAAAGACCTAAATTCCTCCCTCCTCAAAAAAACGTTATTGGGAGGAAAAAGGTTATATAGCTTCTTCTTTTGAGTAGGTGTCAATTTCTTTAATAAACATTCTACATCTATCATTTTAAGTCTTCCAAATTAAAAGAATATCAAATACTCCTAAAGACGTTTTTAAGATTAAACAAGACGTCTAAATTATAGAACATTTAGTTCAGAATTATAATTGGTTTAATCTTGTATTTGAACTCATAAAATGTGTTTCACATTACAGTGTACAGACACAGTGCTTATTACAAGTTTTCTTTCCATAAAACTTGTGGAATAGGGGAATATTTTAATATTACACTAAAAAAATTTCTAGTATTCTCATAATGAGAGTATTTTAGCAATCATTTAAATCTTTTTTTAAAAGATTTTATTTGAGAGAGAGAGAGAGAGACAAAGATAGCGACAGAGAGCACAAGCGAGACGAGTGAGCGTGAATGGGGAGGAGAGGGAGAAGCAGGCTCCCCACCAAGTAGGGAGCCCAATAAGGGGCTCCATCCCAGGACCCTGGGATCATGACCTGAGCCGAAGGCAGACGCTTAACTGACTGAACCACCCAGGCGCCCCAAATCTTACTTAAAGTAGCTAAAACAAGTTATTTTCAGAAACCTCAGACAGTTTTACAAATCAAATAGAGGGCTTTAGGTTTGAGTTTGATTTAGGTAATGGGTTTCTTTAACTACTTCATTTTAGCAATGCTAAGACTCAGTCTTATTTCACGCTTTAATATCTCTGACATGGAAATATGTCTTCCATTTAAAAAAATTTACAGATGGATACATACATATATGTGCATATATACATGCACTTACATATTATATGTAGATGTATGTACATGGTTATATGTAAACATACATGTATACATGCACACACACAGCCATGTACATTTATATGTATACACACGTGTGCACACACAAAAACACATGTTTTGGTTTTGATATAGTGTCCTTTGGGCTGATGCCCAGTACACACCAGTAAAACATACCAGGATCCTTTCTGATTAGTTAGCACCCCTGATTGTTGGTCTTATGCCCTATATTGCTTAAGTATTTTATGTATCAGAAATTGTTTGATTTTTCTTCATTTTCTAAATAATAAATAATATATTTTTAGGTTGGAAGCTTTCTTAGAATTTATAGCCTCCATACGAAACTTCAGTCAGTGAATTCGGAGAACCAGGCAACATTGTTAGCTCTAGAGTTTCATCTCCATGGGGGTACCAGTTACGGCCGGGGAATCAGAGTCTTGCCAGAAAGTAACTCTGATGTGGATCAACTGAAAAAGTAAGCAAATTATATGCCTATTTAAAAATTGTAAATAAGGTATTAATTAAGCTGATTTCCAAGATAACTATTGTTCTGGACTGGGGTGGATGGATCCAGTAAGCTCTTTGTAATTGATCTTCATAACCTGTGCCAACTATCCATTTGTTTAAATAGATGAAACAAATCAAACGACTGTAGGTTCAAGTAGGTAAATAGTAGCAGAGCTAGGGGTGTAGTCTGAGGTTTCCCATAGTTGTGCACTTAGGTCTACTCTGTGCTCCTGCTCTTCTTCCGCCATTTGGCACATCTCCCAAGTACACCAACAAACAGTTGAACCTGGAGTTTAGCTAGAGTTTGGAAAACTTGATACATATCTAGAATTCCAAACATACTTAATCCTGAAAAAATACCTCTTTAAAGTGCCTGTGACTGATAAAATACGTAACAGAAGTGTTTTGGCGTATCATATTTTAAAAACTTTTAGATGTGCCCAGAAAGTGAATAGAACCTTAAGTCCTGCTACATAGGCAGTTCTCTTTTTTGTGAAGTGTCTCCAGGGCTCACTGTGTACAGAAACTTTTTCACCAGTAATCTAAAGACGTAAAAATAAATCTTCTGCATATCTTCAAAGAGCCCTAGAAAATAAACCCATTCAGTAAGTTGAAATGAAATAATATTTTTACGTTTTAATATATTGAAATCAGCATGACTTTTAAAACCAATTAAATAAGCTATTTTAATAATCTTGTATCAGTTTTACTTCTTTATTCCTCATATTGTCTTATATAGAGCATAGTATTTCACTTTTGGACTAGAATGAGATTGTTCTGACAGAATGCCATCATTAAATTCCCAGTTTATTTTTGTTTGCAGCATTTCATTGTCCTACTGTTTTACTCATATCTTTCTAGAATCTGGTTTTTTAAATTTGGGGTACCTTAGAACCCCGAGACCATCTGAGAAGAGCCATTACACACACAACATAATTTTTATACAATTTCAGTGATTTCTTGGTTTCTAAGGATAGAACTAAACTGATCATACTGACTTTGTTTTGTGCAATTAGATTTGAAATTACATTCTTTCAATTATAGGGTTTTAGAATCTGCCGATTTGACAGCCAATCAGTGTTTTGATGGTATATATCATTCAGATCATGAGGACAGCTTTCGGACTCTTTCAAGTAAGGACAGTTTTTAATGTTAACAATTTAGTCTTTGCTAACTGAAATGGCTTTATCAGTATTAGTTCTCTTTTTTAATATCTTCCCATCTCTGCCTCTCTTTTTTTGTTAAATCCATATTCATTGTAAAGGAACAGGCTAAATCTATATGTGTCCTATATAAAGGTAAACATTATTTCTCCCTGAATTGTATAATTGCATTTTCAAATTGGAATGGTAGGGATTACTTGATTTGTGATATATTTAGTATTTATGTATGTATGTTTACATTGTGTGTATATATGTATACATGTGTGTATGTGTATATATTCATTAAAATTCTGTATTTCCTAGGCAACCACTTTGCTTGTCAGTTTCTAAAATGAACAATGGTTGTTTTTGTTGCTTTATTTCAAAGAGCTAGATTATTTTTTGATCATACATATTTTAGAAATATACCTGATTCCTAGTCTTTATCAAGTTCATCAAGTTCCTAGTTATAAGATCTTAAACACTTAGTTCTGTATTTATATTATTGCCTGCCTGAATAGGTGACTATTCAAATCTAAATTTAAATCTTACAAATTTTCTCCTTTACCATTTTGTTTTAACATCTGCTGGTACTTTCTGGGGCCTAGAATCTATGTCATGCTTTTATCCCATAGTTATTTTTTCAGTGTAACTCCTTCCCTTATGATATAAGCTATTTTAAGAGTATTTTCTCTTTCTATACCAGTAATGATAAGCATTAAAATTAACATGTATTGCTTGGTTTAGGTACTAAGTGCCTAATCCTAACAGCACTCCTTTGAGGTTGAAATTATTTTGTCCCTTTTACAGAAAGGAAACTGAGGCTTTGAGTGATAGGGGTCATGTAATTCACCCAGATTATTAGCTATTAACTAATAGCAAAGTCAGTCAGATTCAAGTACAGTTTATTTGATTTTTTTTTTTTACATATTTTAAGTTTATTTCTTTATTCTCTCTGCCTTAAAACTCTCCACATTTCCTAGCACCTTGGTGATGTCATTTTAGTCTGAGCTGTGATTACTTAAACTACCATTAGCAGGCCAATTTACTTCAATTTTTGACAGTCATTTGTGGACAGCATAATTTGTAATTATACTTTTTGAAGTCTCTTTTCTCCTTTTACAAAGATTTTTAAATTGTTTTTAAATTATAAAGTTAATACATGTCATGGTATCAAGTTACACAGCTTCCCCATGTCCTTGTGCCCACTCCTGAGGTAATGTTAAATTTAGTGTGGTTTCTTCAACACTTTCATGTTTATACAAATATATATACCTGTACATAGACAGACCTGACTTTCCTGTCTGTTTAAAATATTTATCAAAATGGAGCGCTTGTGTAGCTCAGTTGGTTGAATGTCCAACTCTTGATTTCAGCTCAGGCCTTGATCTCAGGGTTGTGAGTTCAAGCCCTGCGTTGGGCTCCATGGTGGGCATGGAGCGTACTTAAATTTACAAAATGGGACTATACTATACGGTTGCTTTCTTTATCAGTGGATCATAGACCTTTATGGCCTAATCCACGTTACTCAAACTCATTCTTTTAATAGTACACAATATTTTATAATGTGAATCTAACATTATAAATCCAGCTATTTTCCATCTGATAGACATTCAGGTTGTTTCCAGTTGTTTGCTCTTAACAAATAATGCTTTAAAAACCATCCTTGAACAATTGTACATTCCTGCTTTTCTTTCTCTAAAATAAACTCCTAAAGGAGGGGTTGATAAATCAAAGCGTAAGCACATCTTTTATTTTAATAGATGCTATCAGATGATATGACAGAATGTCCTAGGATTCATAGGCAAATAGCAGTGTAGGAAAATGTCCTTTCCTCACACTCTGAGTGGTATTGGAGGTTACCACTATGTGTAAATTTTGACAGTTTGGCAGGTATAAAGTGATATCTTACTTAGTTTCCTTGAGTACTTGGAAACCTGAAAATATTATATATTTATCAACCCTTTTTACTTCCTCTTCTTTGAATTGTCTGTTCTTACCCTTTACCTGATTTTCTGCTGGATTTTTTAACCTTTTTTTTAATATCAGTTTGTGGGAGACCATGTATAAGTTTTACACTGATTTTCTTTTCATTTGACTGCTTTTATTGCCATTGTTTTCACTTAATGCAGAATGGCTGATATTAAGTAATCAGATTCATTGAAATTATACTTTGCCAGCTTAAGTTGTCCATTCAGGTTCTCTTGTCATGGATTCTTATGCCATTTATTAGTGATGTTGAGGAAGAAGGGCAGTTTCATATGTTTGTATATGATGCCACATAAAATAAATTATAAAAACATGCTATACTACTGTATGTAATAGAATGTCAGCTAAAGTAATTGCAAAATATGGATACTTTTTTAGTCTCAAATTCTTCATTTTAGAAAGCACCATTAAAACTTATTACTATATTCACTACTTCTACTTTCTTGTTAAAGTAAAATCCTGTGTTAAGTGTTCATCAAGTCATCCTATTCAATTTAGTAAGTTTATTATCTTATCTACTTCTCCCTTTGTTTCTTTTACAATGTGTTTTTTCCAAAATAATAAAAATTTTCAAACATACAGAAAAATTGAAACAGTTGTATAATGAACACTCATATACCTACTACCTGGATTCTCTTTGCTGTCATATACTTCTCTCTGTCTTTTACTCCATCAGCCCATCTTATATTTTGATATATTTCAAAGTAAGTTGCAGACATAAATACACCTCCTAAATACTTCAGAATGAATATCATTAACTAGAATTCAATATTTGTTGAGGATTTTTTAAATTTTTGTGTAAAGTTATATGCAGTGAAATGGACAAGTTAAGTGTACCATTCCATGTGCTTTGGCTAATATATAAACCCGTGTAACTTAGATCCCTTTAAAAACCTAAAACATCACCCTTGTTGAAGGAGGTTCCCTCATGCTCCTTCCCAGTCAATCCTGACCTGCACTCCAGCCCCATAAATTCTGATTTTTTCCACCATAGATAATTGTGCCTCTTCCAGAACTTCAAATAAGTGGAATAATATATTATGTACTCTTTTATGTACTATATGCTTTTGAAATTCATCCATATTGCATATATTAGTAGTTCCTTTTTAATTCCTAGTAGTATGGTATGAGGTAGACATTTTTTTCAGTATGAATTTCTAGTCATTGAAGCACCATTAGTTTCCTTTCTGTAAGATGACTTGGGTGTCTGTCAAAAACCAAGTGGGTATAAATGTGGATTTATTTCTAGGCTTTCCAGCCAGAAATACTTAGTAGTATGGTGTGAAGTAAGCACTTTTTTTCCTCATACTAATTTCCAGTTGTTGCAGTACCAGAGTTTTGCTCTCCCTTTGGATTGCTTTGCCACCTTTATCAAAAATGAAATGCAGGTTTATTTCTAGGCTTTTTTTATAATTCTGTTGATAGGTTTGTCAGTCTTTATGCCAGTATCATATTGCCTTGATTATTATAGCTTTATAATAAGTCTTGAAGTCAAGTAGTATAAAGCCTCCAGTTTTGTTCCTTTTTCAGGATTATATTTTATATTCTAGGTTCTTCACATATTCACTTAAGTGATAGAATCTCGTCTTTTTCTGCAATAAAGCCTCCTCAATTTTGGTTAGGATTGTATTGAATCTACAGATCAATTTGGGGAGAATTGATTTCTTAACAGTTTTGAACCTTCCAGTCCGTGAACATAGTAAATTTACTCTTATTTAGATTTTCTTAGCATTCCTGTCAGCAATGTTTTATAGTTTTTAATGCCACATGGGATTCTTAATGGATTTTAAAACCGTATAATTCTTCTTCCCTTCTTCCTGTAGGCTCTGGATCAGTATCACTATATGAGGTAGAAAGATGTCAGCAACTATCAGCTACAAGTAAGACCATGTTTCATTTTTGAAATGTGGGTGTAATAGTGTGCCTAATAAAGTCTGTCGTTACCAACTAATTTGTTCCTATCTAATTTTGAGAGCATATATCCATGAGAGCAAAAATATAGCCCTATTTATATTTTATTTCCCTCCCTCATCCTAAGTGGCATAAAATGGAACCCAGAAAGACACATGTTTTTACATAGACTATATAATTAAGTCACATATATGTAAGATTTATAAAACATATTCTATTTAACAGTGCAATGGGGCTTATTTTGAGAACATAAAATATCTTATATGACATAATTTTTATCTGTTCACGCTGTGCCCTTAGCTGTGTGCCCATAAAGGAGCTCCTTACAATATACCCCAAAACTTTAATGTTAGCAATGATAGTAAATCTGTCAGATGCCCTCTTTCTGTTACTTCAGGTAAGATAAAAAAATTTAAGAAAAAATATTTTTAAGCACAAGTCTATTAAATGAATAAACTCTGTAATATAGTCTTATAAAAATATGAGTTTCTCATTATTTGAGAAAGAACATATAATTATGAAATGGGGGAAAGCTCGAAGAAAGAAGCTTGTAGTGGTGGTATTGGAATAGGAAGTGTCAGTGTGTACTCATGGTTTTATAGACAGATACAGTAGATGCAGATAGGTCTTTGTATAAATGTATTCATTCAAATACATATTCATACATGTATAGGTGCATGTGTGTAACTGTAGGTATGAACATGTGTGCATATATACCCTATCTCTGTCCATTTAAAGGGCTTTGAAATAATGGCACGGCCCAGTAGCAATGAATGCACCTGGTGCACAAATCTTGGCTTATTAATAGTATTCCCCCTTAAAAGGAGTTAGGGCTGCTTATAGAAATAGCAGACTCCAGGATTGGAACAGGAGAATTACAAGAGGAGTCTGGAACATCTTGTGCCAGAAGGTAAAGAAGTTCTCAGTTGATAATGGAGCATGTCAAATTTGATACAATTTGAGCATCAAAATAAAAAATACTAGCAATGGAATAAAACTGAATAAAGTAGGAATCCATTGGTCCATGTGGGTAGTAAATAAAATAACAAATGAATGAATAAATAAATGAGATTAAATGGAAAGCTCTCAGTTACAGTAGAATAATGGCTAGTAAATGTAGAAGGAATGATGAAGTTAAGGAATAAAATCATTTTGCAACCATGATAATAATAATTGATTTAGTTGTAAATCATCAGTAGGTCCTAAACTATCAGGATCCTAAATGTTTACTGAGGAGTGGGATATTTATATTTCTCCAAGTACTTTCTTATTATAAAGGGGAAAATAATAAAGTTATAGTGGAGAGACCTGTTGAGTACCACCATAACCAACTGAGCAGTTACCATTCCCAGGAGTGAAAACACTGATTACATATATGCCTCTTAATATGATACAGAGAAAGACAATTGTATCACTTATTGTATAGCATTCTGCCAAAAATGCATGATCTGTATCTGATCATGAGCAGAACCAGACACACCCAAATAAATGGCCTCTACTCCTCAAATATTATCAATGTCATGAAAGATGAAGAAAAGCTGAGGGACCATTCTACATTAAAGGAGTCCAAAGAGACAGGAAAAATAAATGCAATACATGGTTCAGGATTGGATTCTGGACCTGAAAATAAAATTCTGAATAAGAACATTATGGGGGGCGGGACAGTTGGAGAAATTTGAATAATGTCTATTGATTCAATGATAATTTTACATCAATATTACAGGTTCTGAAGTTGAAAATTGCACTGTAATAGGTCAATGAAATTTCTTGTGAAATACACACTGAAATATTTAGGGATAAAGGAGCATGATATCTGGAAATTATTCTCAAGTGATTCATATATATGAATCTGTAAGGAGATATATATGGAGAGAGAGCTAAAGACATGATGATGAAAAATGTGGCAAAATATTAACAAAGCTGACAGTATAACCTAAATAATTCAATTCTGTATCTGGTTTGGGGGAGTTCATATTATGAATATTCTTATTATTCTTACAGATTATTCTAATCTAAAAATTCTTTTTAGTACTTACAGATCATCAGTATTTGGAAAAAACCCCAATATGTGCTATTTTGAAACAAAAAGCTCCTCAACAGTATCGTATTCGAGCAAAATTAAGGTCATTTAAGCCCAGAATACTCTTTCAGTCTGTTAAACTTCATTGTCCCAAATGTCATGCACTGTAAGTATTTTCCATAATAAAACAGAAGTTTCTATTTCATAATGTTTATGAATATACGTTTTCATATATATCAGTTTAAGTCCTGGCGATGAGTAAATTATGACTTTATATATTGTATTTTGAAACAGTGGTAGCTTTTTTTTATTTTATTATGTTAATCACTATACATTACATCATTAGTTTTTGATGGTAGTGTTCCATGATTCATTGTTTGTGTATAACACCCAGTGCTCCAGTGGTAATGTTTTTAAGAGAAAATACTAAAATCTTAGGAAATCGTTCTGATATTTCTTAGTAATGATAAGTAGGTGCTTTTTTGCAATCTGAAATTCAATTTAGTAGCTCTGATACATGCAAACAAATAATAAACTATAAAAATATTTGAGGAGGGACGCCTGGGTGGCTCAGTCGGTTAAGTGTCTGCCTTCGGCTCAGGTCATAATCTCAGGGTCTTGGGATCGAGTCCTATGTTGGGCTCTCTGCTCAGCGGGGGGGTCTGCTTCTCCCCCTTTCTCTCTCAAGTAAATAAATAAAATCTTAAAATATATATATATTTGGGGAGACTTTCTCTTCACAAAAAAACTTCTTAACCTTTAATAACTAAAATTTTTAAATAGAGAATTCTGGTTAGATGAAATTTTTTTTTTAAGATTTTATTTATTCATTTGAGAGAAAGAGAGAGCAAGGTAGAGAGAGCACACACAGGGGGAGAGGGAGAAGCAGACTCCCCGCTGAGCCGGGAGACCAGTGTGGGGCTCGATCCCAGGACCTGGATTTCACGACCTGAGCCGATGGCAGATGCTTAACCATCTGAGCCACCCAGGTGCCCCTGGATGAAATTTCTAAGTAAGTGATAGAGAAAGCCTTGTTGGCAATATTTCTGTCTTATGATATAGTAAATATAATTTAAGTTTTTATTAATCATTGAGAATTCTCAGTGCATCAGACTTTATTCCAAACATCAATTATTACATATATAAATAAATTTATAAGACATTAGAATGACTATGTACTTATTAGCCAAGACATATTCTGAAATTATTTTTAATCTTTTCCTTTTTTATATAGTTTGTCTTTCCTATAAATATATAATGTGTAAATAAAGTACATTTCCATTTTAAAGTACTTATTTGTGTGTGCACATCTGTGTGTACACTAATACTAATATATGTATATTTTGCCCTCCAAAATCTAAGTATAATACTGTTTGTAGAGATTTTTGATCGTCAAACCTTAAATAAAATGGGGGACCATCTGCTACCCATTTGAGCTTAAAATGGTAGTTGGAATTAAAATATAAATACAAATTTTAGGTACTTGCTGAAGTATTATTAAATTACAGTTGTCGGGCGCCTGGGTGGCTCAGTTGATTAAGCGACTGCCTTCGGCTCAGGTCATGATCCCAGAGTCCTGGGATCGAGTCCCACATCAGGCTCCCGGCTCAGCGGGGAGCCTGCTTCTCCCTCTGACCTTCTCCCCTCTCATGCTGTTTCTCTCTCTCTCTCTCTCTCTCAAATAAATAAATAAAATCTTTAAAAAAATAAATAAATAAATTACAGTTTGTCAAATTCTCTTAAGTCATATAGCTTTGCCAAACAAAGCCATCCTCTCTGAGCACTTTTTTTAAACAAATAAAATCATCTCAGAAAGGTTAAGAGGTGTTACCTAAAGTTACACAGCTGGTTGGGGACAGAACCAGAATAAGGACATACACCTTTTGATTCCAGATGCCATTTCTATTGTATACATACTTTACCAGGTGATTTTTAAAATTATTATTCTAAGTTAAAAGTAATCGAAGAGAATGTTGATTTGTAAATTAGGTCCCCTATGAAAGGGGGATTACTTAGGTGGTAAGTGGATATTGAGTGGGCAGCTTTTTTCCCCCACAGAGAAGTTTAACATTCTATACAAGAGGAGAATTAATTGGTGCTAGAAATAGTTATAAGATCCTTGGTATCACAAAACCAGATAAGGAAATTCGTGGCAGTTAATATAATTATGATATGGATCTACTTAGTCATGAAGTATCATCAAATACCGTTTTTGTTGAATAAGAGTCATTTAATCTGCAAAGTGAACTATCTCCATATTTTAAAATAAGTAGCTGGCTCATCAGCATATAAACAATTTTTTTAAATTGGATAATTTGTTAAATTTGATTTTCTAAGCTTATACCAATTGTTTTATATTTCATTGTCGATAATTTTAGGCAAGAAGTTCCACATGAGGGTGATTTGGATACAATTTTACAAGAGGGTGCAAGTAAAACCCCAGATATCAAACTACAAAATACATCATTATATGATTCGAAAATGTGGACCACTACAGATCAAGGAGAACGAAAAGTTGCTGTTCATTTTGTAAAAAATAATGGTATTCTTCCACTTTCAAATGACTGTCTGATTTTGATAGAAGGTATTTTAGTTACTGTTTTACTAGAATACAGCTTTTGTTTATGTCTTTCTCTGATTAATGATTGTTAAATATATTTTAGGGGCAACCTAGGACATATAAAGTCAAAATGTTATTTTACCTTCCATAAAATGGAGTATATTGTATATAACAGGTAGATTTAAATATATACATATACACATACATAAATTAATCTGAATGACATTTTGAAGTTATACATTGAACTCAAGTGTTTGCATTTGTCCATCTTGGATTTTGGATATAAATCTTAATGAGATTTAAGCTCATTGTGGAGCTGAGTATTAATCAAGAGGACGCTTGATTGTCAGGTACAGTTGCTGCTGTCTTGGCCTCTGGATGTCACTGTTGTTCCATAAAAGTAGAATGAAAGTCATCTATTGATAATGTAAGTCAAGGAAGGGACCCCTGACACAAGTGAAGATAACTCGACATATGTCTTAAAAGAATGAAACTGAGTCATATTTATTTTTGCATTTCCTTTCCACTTTTGTCTAATTTTAATCTGATGTTTATCTCATATATATATATATATATATATACCACATATTTTTTCCCATGCCAAATTTAAAGTTTCATTATTTTCCTTGAGACTTTTCTTCCTTGAGAACATTCCATAATAAAAGTAGAACATCATCTTTAATTTGCAGAGAAATCTTTAGTTTCATTTTGTAAATGAACTGATCTTTATTACAGTAGATTATGATCATTTTTATTACCCACATTTTTCTGTTTATAAAAGTAATAAGTAATTGTTTTAGTGTATGTGTGTATATATATACACACATATGTATATGAATACACATGAATATTACCATTGGTATTATTTTCATGAACATCTTTTATTTTAACACATTTATGATTTATCAGAAATTTAATTTCTATGTATTTAATCATCACAGTAATCCTATTCAGTTAGTACTATTATAAGCTGTTTTTTATACATGAGAAAACTGAATCATAGAGAAGTTGTAGGTCTTTCCCAGTACAGGTAGAAGTGGAACTGAAATTGTTCCCTGTTTTTTTTTTTTTTTTTTTTTTTGACATAGTAACTCTACAGTGAACTTTACTTCCCTCTGGATGAAGTGTAGTTAGGGGGGCACAAGGAATTAAGTAAATGTCGCCCAATTACTTTCCAATAAAGCTGTCAGAGTATTCATATGCTTTAGTAGCATATGAGATTATCTGTTCTCCCATCCTCATTATCATATACTAGCACTTAAGAAAATTTGTCCACCTTGGTGAGTAAAATGTGGTATCTTATTCCATTAGTAATATTTTAATCTCTACCAGGAAATGGATATAAAAACAAAACACGCAGACACATGCATACACAAAAAATGGAGTAAGACTATTTGTATGCCCTAAAAATAAAATAAAGCCCTGGACCTATCAGGTTCTGTAAGAACTGTCCTTGTAGGGCCAGCTAAGAGGATATCAAGTATAGGGTTTTCCTATGTCACACGGCCTCCCACAGTTCTGTGCTGAAGTCAAGTTAAACTTAAGGGTTCAAAAGAAGCTTGAAGAAGTACCTTTAGCTCCTGATCCTATCTTTAGTTACCACTCATCCCACAAACTTTCAGTCTCATCTCCTACAATTTCTCAATTCTCATTCCACCCTCCAGCCATATCAAACTGGTGGCAGAAATATCTATCCTAAACCCAGGATATCTCTCTGTGCCTCTTTGCCATTCCGTTGCTATTCTGAGAATTTTTGCTCTAGTACATGTTCATAAGTAACTCATTAATTCCCTTTACTCAGCAATTCATGTGAAATATTTAATGAGCATCTACACATACCAAGCAGTCTTCTGATTCACCAGGCAGATTTGAGTGGTTCTTATTGCATAGCATATGAACTTTCAGTAGATCACTTTTCTTCTTGTATTATATTTGCATTATATCTGTCTGTTTATAGACTTGTTTGCTTATTAGAATGTAACTGCCCTAAAGCGCAGGATACATGTTTATTTTAATCTATATATCTTCAGCACCTAGGGTAGGACAACAGGCATGCAACTGGTTCTCAGTAAATATATATTAAGTAAATAAGTATATCCAGCGTAATAACACTTTTTAATGAAAGTCAATGAAAATATATCTGAAAGCACTTTAAAATTTAAAAGTGTTCCATCAGAATGCAAGCTATTTTTATTTTATCATATTTCTGAGTATTATAACCCTAATCAGAGCTAGGATCTAACTGCAGTATGACATGGCAGAGCTGTGGTTTCCACAAAGTTCTGCAAAGAGGAACGGGACCCAGGCAAGTTGCTGTCCTTACCAAGATTTATCTCCTTTTCCTGAATAAATACTCCTTGGATTGTTTCAAGACTTTGGTTAATTTCTAGAGTTCCGAAAAAGTCAAATTTGACAGTTTTGGCCAATGTTCTTTCTCCTTTTATGGAGGAGTATATTTTTGGACGTCCTTACTCTGCTGTGCTGGAAGTGCGCCCCCTCACAATTTAGTTTAACATTACAAATTTTAGGAAGTACACAAAAGTATTTTTATAAGTCGTATTCTCTTTCCTTGGAGAGGAAGAATTACCAATCTAGGTGAAAAATACACCAGAAAAGGTACAGTAGGTTTGAGTGATTAGAGAGAGTACTGCCTTCTGGTAGTAGCGCACCACTGGGCATCCTCTTTCTTCTCAGCCCGCATGACAGCTTTTAATGCCCACTTTGTCATAGAATTGGAAGTACTGAGGATTTTTCAGGAAAATTGAACAAACACTCTACATGAATTATTATTATCCAAACTCTTTGCATCTGTATTTAAATATAAAGTTGACCTGAAAGTGTAAAAGATTTATTTCAAACTCAAGACTACATTTACCTAGACATTATTAGTGTGTATAGCAAATTTAATAATGAGAATCCTGTTATACTTTGCCTTTCAGTTTTATTTTCGTTTGAATACTTGATCCAAGTGTTCTGGCATAAAAGAGCAATTTGTATAAAAATTTAGGAAAATGGTTAAAATTTCACAAGCCTTGTATTTTGCTTAATTCTCAGCATTTTTATCAGTGGTTTCTTAAATCAGGGCAGGATACTAAGTTTACAAATTATTATATTTTACAATAAATGTATAAATGTATTAATCATCTAAATTCATGCCTTCATTGTCTCTTTCTTTCAGTCCCCTTAGTCTTTTACTATACGTCATGTATTACTTAATAAACACTCGATCTTGCCTTCATTGTATTTGTACTACTTGAAGGATTTATTTATTCTTTGTTAATAGGAGGTACACTCGGTGAAATCTACAAACTCGCAAACAAGTTTCATAGTGTAATTCCTGTGAGATCTGGCCATGAAGACTTGGAAGTCCTTAATCTTTCAGCACCATTCCTTATACAAGGAAAAATACATCACTATGGGTATGCTTTCAAATCTGGGAAATTTGAGAATTAAAAACTGCATAGCAGTAATTTTTATTATTTTATCCTAGTGGTTGCTATATATTCAATGGATACCAATTTATATGTACTAGATTTTTGTGGTATATATTTATTCTTTTGATAGCATATGTATCGACTACCTACAATGTGCTAAATATAAGGCTAACCTAGGGGCTAATATTCGTTTGTTTTCTTTCATAAAGATTTAGATAATAGTACAGAGAAAGGTTCAGAACTGTATCCTCATAAAAGTTAAGTGATTGAATTCCAAAGTTTCTGTGCCAGGAAGTTACAGTTAGTTGCCACTGAGGAATTGGAAGATAATCAGAATATATTAGGAGCTAGAAACAGGCATGCATTTAAAGAAATTTGTTGTCTCTCTTGTACTTTTTTAACTTTATGGTTTCTTTTATTTTACAAATTTTTAAAATATTAATATGATTATATTTATTAAAATGCTTGTGAAATCTTAAAGGTTTTGCTTATCTTAGGTTTTAGTTACTTTACTCAGATTTCTGGACCTGATTCTTTTTAAACAGAATTTAAACTAATGCTTCAGTTTCTTTAACAGTTATACATCTCTTACAGGTTTTTATTTCTTGAATCTATTTTATTAATGAATTTTTTTTTTAAAGATTTTATTTATTTATTTATTTGAGACAGAGAGAATGAGAGAGAGAGAGAGTACATGAGAGGGGGGAGGGTCAGAGGGAGAAGCAGGCTCCCTTACTGAGCAGGGAGCCCGATGCGGGACTCGATCCCGGGACTCCAGGATCATGACCTGAGCCGAAGGCAGTGGCTTAACCAACTGAGCCACCCAGGCGCCCTTATTAATGAATTTTTTTAGAAAAGTTTTCATCTCTTATATAAATTAATTTATTGACCTAAAAGTGTTTATAGTACTTTTGATGATTTTTAAATTTCCATTTTGTTCCTGAATCCACTTAATATTATTTGCACCTTTTTTTTTTTTTTACCTTTTTTGCCAAAGCAACTAGATTTGTTCTGATACTCGCTATTGTTATATTATTGTTCATATCTTTATTTTCTGCATTTACTTTTTTTAGGTTTCCTTGGCTTTTCTTTTTTTATCTTTATTTTCTACATTTACTTTTTTTAGGTTTCTTTGGTTTTTTTTTCAAACGTTTTTAATTGAATGCTTATCTCACTTACTAATTTTTAGTATATTTTTTAATATTTACATTTAAGGCCATAATATTTCTCCTGAGAAAATGGCCATAGCTTTAACCCAGGATTTGATAGGTAGTGGTGTTTGTTCTTTTTTTTTTTTTTTTGTCTCTTCTAAATGTTTCCTAATTCTCATTATGATTTCTTCTTAGGCCCATGAATTATTTAACTGTGTGTTTTAAAGTTTTCACAGACACATTTTAGGTTCTATATTTTTTTGTATATTAATTAGATTACTTTTTAACCAAATAGCTTGATATATTTCATAATGGTTCTTTGAGATTCATTTAGCTTTGCTTTATCCCAAAATGTTTGTTCAGATTTTGTATATATTGCCTATATTTTAAAAAGAACATGTATTCTTTAATAGCTGTGTTTAATGTTTAATCGTGTTTAGGTATGTCCATTAGACAAGCTTGTCAATCATATTCAAAACTTCTTTTTCCTTTGTAACTTTCTATTTAATCACTTAGAGAGTATGCTTAAGTTCCTCTGTGGTGGTATGTTTGTGATCTTTTATTCTGTCAGTATTTGCTTTGTCTATTTTGAGGCTTTGCTGGTTTGCTTTCTGTTTCTTTGTTGTTACATTTTAGGAAGTCTCATAAATAAATAATTAGGACTAGATTTTAGTTTTTTAATAGATGAGTTTAAAATATGTTAATTACTGATATATTTAGGTTTTATTTCTATGTTTTATGTTGTTCTGCACTCACACTTTTACTCTTTCCCCTTTTTTTGTTATTATTTAGCTTATTTTTTTCCTCTAGTCTTCTATTGGATTCATTTATAAAAATGTTCTTAATTTTCCCTTTTTCCCCACTTTTACTGATTTGGAAGTAATGAATTCTGTACTTAATTTTTACTTTTTACCCTTATATTTTAATTTGTATACTTAATTTTTAGCTTGCATACTCGCTTTATCAATGTCTAAAGTTAATATCACAGCCTATTTTTAAGGAAATAATATGTCTTCATTCTATTGCCTTTTTCTGTTAAAGAAGAAATATCTATGTATTTGAAGGGTGGAGAGGAGAATATTTAATATAGGGACCCTCTGTTTTTCACCAGATTAGAAATGAAAAGGAGTTTGCATGAACCTTTTGGACATTGATTTTTATATTTTTATTCAAGTATATTTTCTTATCAACATCTAATCTTATGATGATTATAATAAACAATTACTTGTACTTAAAGTATGTTTGTATATAAATAAAGCAGAATACCTATACTAAATAATGTGCATTTTTAGTATATTGTATAGTTTCAGATTGACTTATATTACAAAAGATAAATATAGTGTTAGGCATTATAAACTGTGAACCTCTAAATATGTGTTCACTGAATATATTATTCAAAGTCTTGCTAGTACCGACTTCCTTATTGAGAATAATTTTCTATTGGTTATATTTACTTAAGACCTTAGCTGTTATCACAGAGCCATCAAACGAAAGAGTCCTCAGAGCTGTCTCTTTCAACTTTTTCGTTTTGCCAACAAAATCAGCCAAATTAATTAACAATCTGAATCTGGACCCTCTCTCTTGTTCTCCACTTAGTTGTTTATTCTGAACCATACTATCTTTTTGATTGCTTCTATTGTAAAAAGCTTATTTTTTTTACAATTCCAACACTGTTGTTTAATAATTAACTTCAAACTGTGCATGTTTGAACAGAGAAGATAAGTTACAATTAAATGTTATAATAATTATTTTTAAATGCCTATGGTTTTTTTTCTGTCATTAATTTCAGATGTAAACAGTGTTCTACTTTGAGACCAATAAAAACTCTAAATTCCCTGGTTGATAAAACACCATGGATTCCTTCTTCTGTGGCAGAAGGTTAGCAAATTTCTGTGTCCTGCAACTATAACTGTTTTAGTATAAGGTGACCTCACTGATTCTATTTCAGTTGTTGATATTGTAAAACCAGAGCAAGGACTGAGCTAAAGTTTAAACTTTACTTAAACAAACCATTCATGGTGATTATAATAAAAGTATAAAGTGAAGTTTAAAATGCTTGAAAACTTGCTTCCAGGATCTGCCAGTATCTTTAATCATTACAATTTAATGTTCGATAATACAGATTCTGAAAAATCCCTCCAGTTCACAGTTATTAAAAGCAGTTTTAGAGATGGCTATTACAGCTCTTTACCCAACACACATCTTTAGCTGGAATAATAAACTTTTTATATCATATTCTTTAACTGTGATCATCCAGCATTGGCTTAAAACTCTGTCATTGACAGGGGACTCATTACATTGCAAGGCAACATACCCCTTATTTTTTAAGTAGTTCTTATGAAGCAAAACTATGGACCACATTCTTTCCACTAGAATTAGAATACATGCCTTCTGTAAGATTAACAGGCTTTGGACATTTGAAGGTATGTCAGACCTTCACTGAGTCTTTATTTCTCCAACTAGTCACCCTCACTTCATTTGGTATTTTCCCACATTCCCTACTATTTTGTTTCTCCTCCTTAGTAAACATTTCATTTTACCAATGTTCTCAAAGTTTGGCATTAAAAGCTGCAAATAGGGCTGCAAATGTTGGCCAGTTCAGAATATAAAGAAAACCTTTATTTCTCTAAAATTGGACACTTCGCTTCTACTAGCCTGAAAATTTTATTGTATCGATATTTATTTGTATACTTGGTTTTGTTTTTTTTTCTTTTGCAGTCTAACTATATGATACTGCTATCTCATATTTTGTTTGTGGTCCAGTGAAATTCCAGGTTCCTTTCATTTGAGCTCCCTGCTTTCCAGCATGGTCTGCGCATCCCATTCTTAATGCAGTTCTTTGTGTGTGTGGTCCCTCGGGGTAGATTTTACATTCACCCTTCTTGGTATTAGCTCAATTTTAACCTATGGAGACCTTTAGAATCCTACAAATCAAGTCCTCTGTATTAACAATTTTTGTCATGTCTGTATGCCCTAATTCATTTCTCTGTATACCCTGTTGTATTCTTCTTACTTGCCCCTTAATTAGTCCTTTTAAATATGGCTTCCACAAATGAAAGACAGTATTTCATTTTATAAACATATTAAATGTCTCCCATTTCCAAACACAAAGTACTATTTTAACCTATGAATTTTCATATCATTTAATATCTCTTTAATTTCTTCTTCCTCATCAAATCATGAAATCCCATCTTCTGACATTTTTGTCCATTCAACTAGATGATATCTTAAAAAATAAGTGATCCCTATATTAATAATACAAAGGGGAGAGACATGTTACAAAATCATAAATTTTTTTAGAACATTCTGGTATTTTAATTTTGTCTTTCATGAGGCTAACATGCAATGAATTATAGTACATGAATCAGTTTTTATGTTTTCTATCAAGTTACGAACTCATTTTAAAGATACATTACATTATTTCATCAATGCTCATGAGTCATTCCCCCTATATAGGTATAATGTAATGTTCTAAAATGAATCTGCTAAATGAGTTTAATATATTGTTATTGGAGAACAAAAGGCATATATATATAAGTTGTTTATCTTAAGTTATTTTAATAAAACTAACATAATATCATAAAACAATTTTTACTTTACTTTGATTTTATGGAATAGAAGATTCATATGGTTTGATCTTTTTTCCCTTCACTAGTACTGGGTATTGTACCCCTTCAACATGTGTTTGTAATGACATTTACTCTTGATGATGGAACAGGAGTATTGGAAGCTTATCTCATGGATTCTGTAAGTAACAGAGGTAGTGTAGATATTTCTAAGTAAAATATTTTTTTAATTTTAATGTATTTATTCATTCCTGCTTTATTACTGAGAGGATTTAAGACAACTTAAAAAAATAAAATGCAAGCACATAAATTAAGGTGTCTGTACATTTATCCTGTTTTGATTTGACTCTAAATTTAATATCCACATCATGAAAAATTGAAGAATAAGCATTTGAGGAGAGACTCTTCAGAAGTTTTGCTTCAGGAGCCAAAGGCAGAGGTGTGAGCACACTTTCTGTCTAGCAGCATTTCACTAGATTTTTGAAGTCTTCACATTTCCGTATTAGAGGGAACGAAATTACTTTGGAAGGTCAGTGGTTATATTGTGTGAAGCTGGGGAGCTATCCATAAACCTCCCTCATTTCTAACAACTGTTCCAAGTTTGGGGGTTCTCAGGACCACCCTTAAATTTTGATAATCCACTAGAAAGACTCCCAGTAACTTCCTATAAGTTATAAATGCTATTATGATTTATTATACCTAAAGGATACAAATTGAAATCATCCAAGGGAAGAGGTACATAGGGCAGACTCCAGGAAGTTCCAGACATGGACCATCCAGTTGTCCTCTTCCCACGGAGTAGCAGACAGTGTTACCAGCCTGATAATGATGTGTCACAGTACACACGTATTGTGTTTTGAGAGCCAGGGAAGCCTCACTGAGCCTTAGTGTCTAGAGTTTTTACTGGGGCTCTGTCATGTAGTTATGGTTGACAGCCCATATGGCTGATCTCAGTTTTCAGCCCCTCTGAAGATCAAGCTAATGTCACATTCCCCAACCTCCCCACCCTAAATCTCTAGTGTGACAATCAAGGACATTCCTAACAAGCATATTCTAAGGGCTTAGAGATTATTTCCAGAAGCCAAGGGCAGATGCCAGATTTCTGTTAGTGGTAAGGTCGAATTTTTTTACTGCACACATTGGGAAACAATCTGGGGTAAGGTTGAGAGAATTTTTCCTCCCGCCTAAACAATTCATTTGTCCATTTATCGAATAAATATTTAATGAGACCTGCTGTGTGCTAGGTACTGTTGTATATGATGGGGTTATAGCAGTGAACAAAGCAAACAAAATCCCTTCTTTCAAGAAAGTATAGTATAAACTGATAGAGGAAAGAAAAATAAATAAATATACAACATGTGTTATACTCTTAAACTTAACACTAGATTTTTTCCTATACACAAAGAGAATGATAGACCTCACTCTTTTCTAAATACCATTATTATTATTATCATTAAGTCAGAGCAGTTTAATTGGATTTTTTTATCTATATCTCAATACTGTTTTTAGATTAAAGTAGTAAATCAGATTTTAAGAGTTCAGACTAGAACTCTGAATTCTACAATCTTGATAGAATAAAATAGTCTAGATTATTTTAATTAGATAATATTTAAATACTTTTCATATTTATTATGACTTTTAAAAAAAGATTAACTTCCAGGGCACCTGGGTGGCTCAGTCAGTTGAGTATCTGCCTTTGGCTCAAGTCATGATCTCAGGGTCCTGGGATCGAGCCTCTTGTTGGGCTCCCTGCTCAGTGGGGAATCTGCTTCACCCCCTCCCCCTCCCTTGCCCCTACCCCTGCTAGTGCTCTCTCTCCCTTTCTCAAATAAATAAAATCTTTAAAAAAAAAAAGATTAATTTCCTTTTTTCTTCTATAATTTTTTTTAAGGACAAATTCTTCCAGATCCCGGCATCAGAAGTCCTAATCAATGATGGACTTCAGCAGAGTATGGATATGATCTTGGATATGTTTTGTCCTTCGGGAATAAAAATTGGTAGGCAATATTTTTTAACACTCTCATCCTTTTTCTTGAAACAGTATTTAACATGTATCTAATCTGTAGACTTAGAGGTATGAAAACTTTGAAGTCTGAATCTAAATAAATTATTGTCTGATCTGCCTTTTGATGAAGACAGTGGCAGGGAGAATAAGTTAAGAATCATAGTTCCTGAAATGAAAAGATTTTTAAATTTTTTGAAATATAATAAAGGGGAGGCAGTTTTGATCACAAGGACATTTGTATACTGTTTTTATGCATACAAACATTTGAAATTTTGACAAGAAACATTTTCTATAACAGACTTCATTTAGCCAGTTTAATTCATTCATGAATTTCTGTTCATATTATTAATATCATAATATTAACTAGTTTCAGGTTTTATGCATTTTTATTTTACTAATTGTTTTTTATCAGCTGTAGTTCTCTGGATAACATTTGATTCATCAACCAGATGTTCAGGTCAAATCGTATCGATTACATCTACTGCCACTGACTTCCTTTTGTGGCCATTATTTCTGCTTACATTGAAATTTGAAGACCTCAATCATAGTAAGACAGTTTGATTCTTCTAACAATTTTTCATCAGTAAGAAATTTTGCCAGCTGCAGATTTAGCTGCTGTCAGTTTAATTTTTTTAGGTTATTTTTAATCAGACTTTATTTTCCCCTGGTCAGTCTTTGAATTTTGTAACAATTCCAAAAAGATAGCTTTTATACATCTGTAACAAGGTTTAACTTACATACTTTTATTTGATGGCAGCTTTGATTTTGGTTTTAATTCTTTTGGATAGATTTCTGGAAATAAAAGTCTCATTAAAAAGCACGGGTTTGGTAGGTTTTTGATACATGCTGCCAGATTGCTTTTCCAAAGATATTTTACCTATTTATAGTTCTACCAGCAGTGGAGGAGAGTGCCTGTCTTGCTTGACTCTTGCCAATATTGACTGTATTAAGTGTCTTTTAAACTTGAAGAAGCATTAAGAAACTTTTCTAGAAGTTCTAAATAGATTTATTGTGGTCATGACCGAAGCTTGGAAATAGCATCTACAGCTGCCAACATTGTCTGGACTCAGTGCCTGGTACCTGATGGGAGTGTCAGCTAGACAGGTGTATAAGAGCCTGAGCTGATGTGAACCTCAGGTTCGGTTTCTTTGCAGTCAACCAAGAAAAAAAAGAAAAACAAACAAACAAAAAAACCTGGGGAGGTCAGCAGCAGGAAGAAAAGGAAGAAAAGTTGGGAATGAGATGGCTGCTACCTTTGCTGTCAGACATTTGGAAAACCCTACATTTAATTATTGTTTTCTGTTGGAAAAAAAATCAAATTAGGATTGTTACAAAACAGTAGCAAGAACCCAGTGTGTATTTGGAAGAGTAGATAATATTAAATTTGGTAAGTGTATTTACTTTTCAAGCTAAATTAAATGTTAATTTTTCTAGCTAAGCATATGCTTAGATACATATTTCAGAGGTATTTGTTTAGTTTTAGTGGTTAAGTAACATTTTTTTCTCATTTGTAGATGCATATCCGTGGTTGGAATGCTTCATCAAGTCGTATAATGTCACAAGTGGAACGGAGCAGCAAATTTGCTATCAGATTTTTGACACCACAGTTGCAGAAGATGTAATCTAATATTGTCATTCAGCTTAGCATATGTAAAATACTATAATTTTAGAAAACATTATTTTCTGTGCGAAGATTCTTATAAAAGATGTAAAAGGTTTAACAGTATAGTTTATCTTCCATTTTAACGACAGTGTAAATTTTTTTTCATAAATAGCATTGTGTTATCTTAGTGCCTTCTTGTGAATAAGTTAAAAATGTTCCTTTTGCTCAAAATTTCCAGTATGGTGGCTGCTAGGGCCATAAAGGAGAAAGGGGAATAAAGAAAGACTGTCTTCATTTACCCCTTGCAGCCCTTTCGGAGAACGTGTTCTGGTACCTTGCACTAAAAATCACTTTCCTTGTTGGTTTTTCCGTGTGTCAGCCACTAATTTGTCTGCCCACCACCATCTGTGCTTGGATTTCTTTTCCTGCCATGGTTTTTATATCAGCATTGTTAATGATTTTAGCATGGGTATGGGGCTAGAAAACGTCCTTATGTTGGCTCACTCAGCTTTCACTGAGTGCGAAGTGTGTAATGGCTAGCGGTTTGGTTTTGCACAAAGGGATCTGCTTAAACAAGTAGTCTTGAGAAGTGCTCTTCTGAGTGAGCTACAGCGTACTTAACAGGAGTGGTTTACTTTAGGTGTATGTGGCAGAGTTGCTGTCTTTTGGTGCTATAGACCAATTTAGGATAAATCCATTTTCTAAGACCTGAATTGTATGCTTTTGATTGCTTGTTTCTCTACATGATATTAGAAGTTACTGCATTCCACCTTGATCTGATAAAGCAGTCAGGTTTATTACAATGTTACTGACTTACATTACCCTTTTTTAATAGTCTTACATAATATATATTTCAGACTGAACGTGGAATGAGATATTAACTCAATACAGTAGTCCACTTTTTATCTGACAGTGTTTGCAAAATTTAAAATCATGAATATTCAGTTTTATACAAATACTTCTATATATTTGTATATATGTATAGACGTATGTATATTATTTGGTAAAGACTAAGACATACACATATGCCTAGTTCAGTATTAGTGAAGAATAAATTAATGTACATATTTCACCTGTTTTCTTTATTTGCCCTGTGTTGAGTTGAGGCGTGATTGGAGGCAAAGAATCAAAGTAGGAATGCCAATATAGCAGATATTTAAGACCGTCTATACAATAGGAACCGTGCAAAGCATTTAACATATATTTGAGTTTCGCAACAACCGTTTTCCTGATAAAACTGAGGCTTGGTGGGCTGACTTCACTAAGTTCACATGGTTACTAAGTGCTAGTCAGTATGCGCATTCCGGTAATCTTTGTTCAGAGGCTGCACTGCCAACCACGCCAGGATTCTGGGGCAACAAGCTAGCATGGGGTTTTCTGCAAATGAGTCCTCCCTTAAGTATTTGAAGTAACACTGGAAACAGATTATGAGAGGAGTCAGTGTTATGTTTTCTTACATTCTCAAAAGGCTTTTAACATTTTATTAGCAAAAAAGGTTCAAATATTTGATTTCCTCTGCTCATAATAATTCCAAATTCTAGTTCCTTGAGTACATTATCCCATCCCCAGACGTAACTACCCATTTCCCATCACTGAATTACCATCTTGTCGGAGATGGTAGAAAAAGAGGCTGATGCTGCTGTTTTGGGTGTAAACTCTTAGCTCAAAACATCTTCAGGGAAGAGTTTGAGGAACCCTGTGAATGAACCGATAGATTTCAGTATCGGTGGTATGCTGGGGATACGAAGGCCAGGGAGCCATTTTCTCTTCAGGAAGCACCGAGTCTAGAAGAGGAGGGGTCAGAAGGCACGGCAGGTCACAGCGCTGTCTCCAAGTTGATAAAATAAAACTCCTCACATGAATCTTTACTGGGATAGGTCATTTCTCTTTTTTCTTTTTTTTTTTAATAAACCCTCACATTGTCCTCATTTGTTTTTTAACTTTTCAGCTTTGAACAAAAGAGTTCTATTAATACCTAGTGTTTATCCAGTGATGATGTGTGCATCTTACCTTTATCAGGACCCAGGAAAGCTAGGAGAATTCTGTTTCTGGAGCAACAAGTAGACAGGCGTTCACTGTGCCCTGATTTGAACCCTGTCCCCTTTACTGTCCATGGAAATAATGGTAGCCTTCCTGTCAGATACAAAATTACATAAATTTAAGCATGTAGTTTGTGTACAGCCTTTTGCTCAAATTCCATTCTCTGCAGCGTCCATTTGATACTACTGGATTGTCTCTTTAGCCCCTGCACTGTTCTGTATGAGGAAGAGAAGGCATAGCTTAGAAAATCTGAGGCAGTCGATTACACGATAATGAAAAGTGCACTGCTCACACGCCCTTTCTGTCCCTACACTCCATTATACTCTATTTGAGGGAACTATACTGGCCAAGATGCAGTGCATAATTCCCCCTCCCCCCCCTTTCTTTTCTTTTTTTTGTTGCACATTGGGAGTTGTTTCTGAATGAATATAGAGAGGCTGGTGTGAATGGAATAGAAGAAGCTGACTACACCTCTGTCTACCTGAGAAAGCAGTCTCCACGCAGTAGGGCACTGGCTGCGCAGTTTCTGAGTCTGTAGATCCTGGGCTGTGGCTACTTGCAGGTCACAGGGATGGGCCAGAATTTTTAACCAGCTGTGCTTGTCTGTTTCCAAAGTCAAAGCATGAGTTTTGTCACGATTTGTGACACTCAATCCAGCCGATTCTCTTCTACACTTTCTGGAAGCTTTCCTTGGTATCTGGGGAAATAGCTGGATTCTTCTGATTATTTTCATTATGTTTTGAAATTTGACCATGTATTTCACCAAGTTTTGTTTTTATTCAGAATTTTTAAAAATAAAAGTAATATGTATTTGTAAGAATTGAAACAGTATAAAGTGTATGAAGTTGAACTAATTCTTACTTTAACTAGTACCCCAGAGGAAACCACTTTTAACAGTTTGGTGTATAATTTTCCAGACTGTTTTCCCTAAGAATGGGTAAATATGTGTATATATACTTTTTAAAAATAACATCATGCTATAAATATATTTCTGCAACTTTTGTCACTTTATAAAGTAGACCTTGTTCTTTATAACAATACATATAGAAGGAGAAACTTGTTTGTAATTACTCAGCGTAAGTAACTTTTTAGGGAATTCTCTGATTATTTCACTTTCTATTTTTATCTTGAGTTTTGGTCTATTTAAGTGTTCTGTTTCTTACTGTAAAGAGTTTTGGAATTTTATATTATAGGAATGTATGCATTTTACCTATTTTGTTGACTTTATCGCCTTATAGTTATTCATAATAATATTTTATTATTATTGCTTTAGTCTGTGTTTTGTCTGGTGTTGTTTTCCCTTTAAATAAATCTGAAGCCCCTGGGACCTGGTTTCATTGTATCTATTGGAGGTTCTTAGGTGATGAGAATTTTGAAGACCTGTCCAACTTCTAGTACAGATTAGGACTCTACCATGACACAGTTGTCTTGAAATATTCTTTCATGCTTCAAAGGACTCATTGTAGAAAAGGAGGAATTTATATTAATGTAAGAAGGGAGAATGCCTCCTGTAATGCTTTTCATTACAAAAAAGGCTTTATCATGGCCATGATGAGTCACCCTAAAGTTCTAAAACATCATTAGAAGGGAAATAAAGATATATCTTCCCGTGCTTGCCCTGCAGGATCTCTGGATGGCGTCAAAGCCGCCTTCCCACTCCAGGAAAAAGACCTAGTCAGCTGGTAAAATCTGGGCCTAGTAATCTATCTTCTCTTCCCTCTGGTACTTGGAAATGGTATCAGAACTCACTAAACAGGAAGTCTGCAGTGTGCTCAGGTATGTGAGATCACATCTTCATTTGGCAGCCCGGGAATGAATCAGTAGCACCGTGTATTATTTTTCTCTGCAGTATTGTGATTTAAGCTCTTAGGAAATTTGAGATCACTTAGGGTTTCGAAGTGATGGTCGTCTTACATGGAGATAAATGTCCTTCCATTCAGGACTGCATATGATGGATTGAGAACAGTGTTAGGTGTTAGGTATCAATTACCGTGATAAGGATAATGCATTAATGTATATGAGAGCTCTCCCTCAGATGTGCCAGCTGGTGAAACATGGATAGTTCAGAGACTCCTCTATTTTTAGACTGTAGCAACATCTTAATGAATGTCTGTTTTTTCCCCTTGAAATCTAGGCCATAAAGGCACTTTGGTATAGCATGTGCATGTGTGTGCATGTGTGTGTGCACATGCTTGCTTTTATTCTATGCTTTGAGTTCACTTTGCAGGGTACTATATTAGAATTTACCTGACAGCCTAGTCCACAACTACCAAAGAAAGATGTTTTCAAGACGTTTTCAACTTGTGTGAAAAGTTTCTTTTATTTCATCTGTTGACAATAGTCTGAAGATTTGGAGCATGTGTTCATTGAAAACCTTCTTATCTATTAATATAGTCCATCAAATATTGTTACAGTTTCTAAACAAGTACATTTTTATATACAACCCTGAATCTCTGGTATATACCTTCTTTTTTTTTTTCCTATACCTTCAGAATGATTTTTCCCTTCTTTGAAATATGAACTTGCAGATAAACGCCAGTTTGTTTTTACATACTACTCTATTCCTCAGCAGATTTTTGTCCTCCACTGGAGGGCAGAGTCCTTCTAGAATTTAAAATCTTGTACCAAATTAGCTACCTTTTAAATGACTTTTTATCTCAAGCTTCTGTAACAGTAAATAGGAAAGAGAATATATTTTAAAATCAAAAGTATTAACTTGTGAGTCACATGAAAATATAGCAGTGGATAGGCATAGTTGTGGTTTTATTTGGTTAGATAGGAAATCCTGTGTGTTTATTCCCATTAGATTAGGTTTAGGAGCAATAAACTTGTACTTAAATTTTGTTTCAGCACAATGATCAAAGCTTGAATGGAGCTTAAGAAAAAGAATACAGAGTACAAAATAGGTATGTATTTAAAAGTCAGCTCATACATTTACATTCATTTATTATTCATATAGTATCTGTATCCACAAAGAATTTCATATGGTTTACAATAAAAGACAGACATAGGACCCAATCTTTTGAAATAGGGCAAGAAGACAAGAGCCAAATAGGGGAGTGACTATTAAAACAATTCATTGTTTCTAACCTAAGGGATGCTGTAGGCTTTGAACAAAACTTACCTATATGTGAAAATGTAACAGGTTACATTGCTCTTATTAACAAAGTTCTTATATCTTTAGTAGATACAAACCTTTTATTTATCTCGACATAAAGAGTAGCAAGGTGGGTTTTTATATTAGGCACACTAAACAGAATATTTTATGTAACTAATAGTGTTTTTTAAAAATGCAGAAATTTGATCCAAAATGCTAGGATGTAAACTCTGAAGATGGAAGAAATAGAGCAGGGGAATTTTCCATGGACTGTCTACCTTTTGGCTCTTATTTAAAGTACTTTCTTGTTTTGTTTTTATTGTTAATGGTGAATGTAAAATGTTTCCAATATCTCCACATACTCAAGAATTATTAGAAGCATTAATTACTACAGGAAAAATTTGTATTTTTCTGGTATTAAAAAATCAACTCCCTTCTGATATAAATATCACCGAGAAAATTAGCTCTTTTTACCTTTTCCTACTCTAGTTACTGGTAATGAAATAACTGTCTTGTTTTCAGTGTTTCAAGTCAGGAAGAATATGGGTTTTAATGAATCACAGTCATTTGGATGATATGTACTCCTGTATTTTGCCTTCAGTGCTCCATGGAAGATGTTGCTTAAGTTATAAATAAAACAAGCTTCACACTGGTGCCCGGCTGGGAACTTGCTGGGAGTGTTATTTTACCTATACCAAATTTACTAAGCTCTAAATGCCAGAACATTAGATCTAGTCATCCTTGATCCCTCTCTTCATTCATGGCCCATATCCAATCCATTTGAAAAATTATCATGGTACATTCATTAAAATATGTCCAGAATTTGACTACTTCTTAACCACTGGCCATGCTACCATCTTCTTTTGCCTGAACTACAGCAATAGCTCCCCAATTGGTCTTCCTGTTCCTACAGCTTCCCCACAATAGTACATCCTCTATACAGTATCTAGGCTGATCCGTTAAAACGTAAGACAGATAATGTCATTTTCCAGTGTTTTCTAGTGTCACACAGAGTTGAGATTACCTGGCCTTCAGCACTCAGTGTGATCCATTTTACTTACCACCTTTTCGACATCTTATACTATCACTTTTCTTCTCTCTCTCTTGTCCAAACACTGGTCTTGTCTTTTCAACATACCGTGCAAACTCTCCCTTCACAGACTTTGTACTTTTCTGTTGTTTCTTCAGTCTGGACATTGTTGAGCTCTTCCAGGTTCCATGGTTCACTCTTTCACATCCTTTGTAGCAATGTGACCCTATCAGAAAGCCTACCCCTGACTGACTTTTCTCCCTTGCACATACCCACGTGACATATATTTATTTGCTCATACTGTTTCCCTTCCCCAGCAGCATATGAACTCCTTGGGGAAGGAGTTGGATTTATTCCCTGCTGTTTACCCAGT